ATTCCTCTCCTTTGTGGAAAATACATCGAGAATCAAGTTCGAAGCTGACCACCTTCGCGCCGAATTTCAACAGCGGGTTGCTAGCTTTACTCGGCATCCTCCACGTAGTACTGATCGAGCCCAAGAGGATTCTCATTCTTGTGACAATTTCTCTCTCCATGTTTCCCAGAAGCTTGAAAAAGCAGCTAATTCACTTTATGAATGGCACGCTTTCGAAGCAGGGGAACCGTCCTCCTATGTCAACCATAATTCAGAAAACAGTATGAATTTCGAGGTGGAGGTTGACCAACTCAAATACTGGATTTCCGACTTCGAGTCAAGAGCTAAGTATTCGAAGGATCATGTTTCAGAGGAGATTGTTCACTATCGTCCTGTTTCCGAGGACGTATCTGATTATGGACTGAACCAACACACACGCTAGTATATGGTCACTCGAATTCGTACGTCGCCCTATGCTTTCTAGGTCAGTCTTTTCTTCACGGACCTCTCTCGTACTTGTAGACTGACCATAGTTGACAGTTGTTGGTCTACTTTCATTTATCCCCCTACGATCTGTCAGTGTTTCTTTTCAAACCTAGTAGATGAACTAGGTCTGGTCGTCTTCACTGTTCAGTTATACATACGTGTATATATCAGATCAATTGTTCAAGAGTCATGAACGTTTTCGTTCGATGGGGCTCGGGGAGCTGAGCTATTGTATCGCAGAATAACTTGGCCTGAGACATTACGCTCTCTCCTCATAGTAATACACGCATGCAACTACTACTATGTACCCAGGCTAGTGCTACAAGACACCGGTATCGAAAGCCATTAAAAGATGGCAGAAGGGTACTCTTACCTTGAAAACAAGTTTCTGAATCACTGTCAGTCACTGTCTCTCTCACGCTCACCGTCACATCTCAACAATGCCACAAAGCCTCACAAAGCTCTTTCGTACTCTTTCGTTCTCGAACATTCAACAAAGATGATCAATGGGCGACGGTATACGAAGGCGCGGCGGACCTATTGATTTCACGGAAAACGGAAAAATAATCCAACTCTTTATCCAACGATGAATTGAGCACTGGCTCAATCAACTCACTCATCTTTCTTCTATAGTTACTACCACGTTCTTCCTTTTGGAGCTGGTCTCCTCTCAATATTGCAGTCTGTGACTATCCTCTTATAACTCCGACAAACTTGATTTCGCAATGGCTCGTTTTGCACCCATTATCATCATTGCACTCCTTTGTGGGAGTCACATTTATTTCCCTACCCTCGCAGTTCCAATTTCTGTCTCTCCGTTGCCTGCCGATACTGGGGCTCTCTCCGAGGTTGCGGTGCCTTCCAGTGCCCCACCGCTCGGGCAAGGCTTGCAACCAATTGGTGCTATGCAGGGCTCAGCTGCTGCTCGTGAACCAGAAAATGCAGCGACCACGGTTAGTCTCGAGGCATATGTTTTGATGGCTTTTCAAATGATGAATATACTCTTCATAGCATATCATCGACTTCGAAGGCAAGGACTGGAGCTTCGATGATAACAGTGATTCTCACACGACCGAAGTGGATCTTCTCAAGCGTGGAATGGATGACAGTGAGGATGGCACGGTGCGTGAATTATTCTATGTGGTTCCATCTGTTCAGTACCAACATCTCATTAGTACAGCGACGTTCGAGGTGTCTCTATTTCCACTCATCAGCGAGAGATGAACGCAACAGTAGAGGTTCGGATACGAGATAATCTTAGGAACGCTCGCCTGTACGAAACCCACGCGAGCTGGATGAGGCGTTTGGTCAAAGCATTGGAACAATGCATCGACCTCTTGAAGAAAATGGATTCTCTACATTCCACTGACTCTGTCATGGATATTTTGGAGACCGTGCCTAAACTCGAGCCCGAAGCCAGAGCCATCCACGCCGAATTCCAGCAGCAAGTTGATAGGTATAAAAACACACCTGGTGACCCAGTCGAAGCGGACCTATATAAATCTGCCAAACGCATCACTACGATTACCCAAACTCTCACAGACATAGTTGGCCCACTTCCGTTGTACACATATAACGGTTTCGATTCGAGATACCTCGAAGGATTGCCGTCCGAACGAAAGGACTTTTCGAAGGATGTTGAACTACTCAACCGTTGGATCCTCGGCTGCGACATGAGAGCTGCCTATTTCAAGGATCATGCTTCGCTCAAGTTAACTGATCATCATAACCCTTTCAAGGAAGATGTTTCGGACCCGTCAAAGAACCTTTGACAAAGTCCGGGGGTACAAGGAAAGTAGAGACCGAGTCCAGGGCAGTGGTTGGGGTGAACGGGTGACGCATCCCACTCGGATAAATTGGGTCAACAGACTTGCCCCTCATAATGAATTCCATGTACATTACCGAAGGACATCCGCGAGGGATCGTGATCAGATACCTGTCCCTCTCACTCTTTCCGTCTCACTGCCACGCTCACACTCACACACACACACTATTGTCCTATTCCAACGCGGCTTTTTGAGTCGCGGCGTTTTCGCTGTCCATACCATGTCTGTTCTCAACGACTTTGCAGCATAAAGAGCCCATAGCCGGATTGGTCGCTCCTTACTGCGTATGTGTACACACAGGATGTCAAACGTTCACGCTTCTTCATCGTCAGCATCCTCCCGTGCCTTTCTGCATTCCATCCCGAGTCACTTTTATCCGTCGCATGCACATGCCCCTCTGCCTACGACCCCCACACTCGTTTCCGCATTTTCTTTCTTACGCTAAGGCCGAACTGGGACTTTCCGCACAGAGACGGGGCTGGAAATGGAGACAACCAGAGTCAGGACCTCTCAGGGCTCTAACAGATCTTCTTCTCGAATGCACGCACGTATCATCGTCCAAGGATATCAAAGGTCATAACGAGGGATTCTAGTACTCAGATCGCACACTATAGACATTTTAAGGTGGCTTTGTCAGTCGCACTTTCGCGGTTCACGCCCGGATGGCCACAAGGCACTAAAGCCCGAGCAAGGGTCGTATTCGAATCGTTCTCTTTCCTCCTCTCGAGTCTCTCATATTCCACTGAGACGGTCCTGTCAGTCACCGCACTTGCCACGCGGTTCACGCCCAGTCTTGATGGCGACTAGTGTTCATCATACGCGCGAAGCCTGACTGGACGCTCTTTGCGTATGTTTATTAGGAGGGTAATGGTGTCATTTGGGGGGGGAGAGAACGTTCATCATGCTTCTGGCAGAATTTGTGCCCAGACCACCAGATCCTCCTCAGGTCTCTTCGTGGTCATCATCATCCGTGCCTTCTGAAACCCATTCCCAATTTCGTCGTCGCATGAGAATGACGCTGTTGCTACGACTCCTGCATTCTTCGCCACAGTTTCATGATTCATCCTTGTTGCTGGATGACGATGATCAGAGTAGCATCGACCTTCGAGTTCTTCAAGTTCTTCAAGTTCTTCGTGTCTTCGAAGTCTCTTCGAAACCAACCAACCAACGTCAGAATCATGATCGAAGCCCCGAAGTCTGCTCAAGTTTCGTTCCTTCGGAAGGACTGTAACACAGTAACAATGTATGTATGATCTAGATTCTAGAGCGTTGGGCGTTGGGAGGAGGATTGATTCTGAAAGCATTTTTCCAAGCATAGGCTCTCCCTGAAAAGCCTTTTCCTCCCCTTTCCCAGCGTACCCCTCCTCTCTCACGACTGAAGTCTGAGAAGATCCGAGTCCTGACGGGTTATCATTTCATCAGTCATTGTACAATGTCAAGGCTATTATCTTCTGCACTCAATGCTCAGTACTCAGTACTGGGTAAGTTCTAACTTTGGAACTTGACAGAAGGACAGAGACGGGAAGAGAGGCTCCGAGAGAGCCTCAGTCAGCTCCTTGTCCAACGTCCTATGTCCAACAACTTGTCCAACACTTGTCCAACAGCGTCCAACCTTATCTAATATCCAGATTCCAATGCTTTCCAATGCCCCCATCGATGTCCCATCGATCATCATTCTGATTCATCAACATTCCTCATTCCGATTCCAAAGGCGATTGTTCCGTGTTCTCCTCAGGTCAAACCGGGGTCAAAAACAACGATGGTCAGCGGCGATTGGATATAAGTAGAACTTTCAACTGTCGCTTGGACCCGCGGGAGCACTTTAGTCCCGACTCCCGAGTTCCCGACGTCGGAATAGACTCGCCGCCGGCACTGCGAGTGAAATTTCCAAAATTTGAAGATTTGGCACGCGAGCCTCGGGAGCTCTTGTGAGTCGGCGAGAGAGTGGGGAACAGTGGGGAACGTGAAGTGTGGCGATCTGCTTTGGTTTTGGAATCCTGAGTGGGGGAGGGATGTCGATGAAGCCTGATAATGCCAAGAGTTGAACGTTGATGGAGAGTCTCCCTTTCCTGCCCGCATGGTGAGATATAATTTCCGTCAGTTTCCGTCGACAGGCTACGACAGGTCACGTCGAACGACGAAAGGTCAATTCTAATTTCTGTCGGAGCATTGTCGGGTTTAACGAGGCGGCCAGTGTATAAAAAAGCTGAGTAAACATTGAACAAGGCTGCTTTTTCTGAAGATTGAATTCTCTCAATTCGCGGTCTGGGGTCTGGGCTTGCGTGAAAGATGCCCATTGCAATAGCCAATGGAAGATTTGAAAGATTCTTGAGTTCTGAGAGTGTGCTTAATTGAGATTCGAGGAGGGGTGGGTCCAGACTTTGAACGTTCAAAATTGAGATGAACTAGAACTTTGAAGCATTTGACGGGACATGTACAGTGTCATTGTTGAATTTCAATGTATGCTATGTATCATGTACTTACTGTACACATCGTACAGCCTCGTCTGGGTCTGCTTCAGTATTGGGCTGTGCTGGTATTCTTATGCCAATTAGTAGCACTGCAATGAAAGTCAATTGAAATAAATTCAGCAACACTGCCTGCGGTTTTGAACGTTCAAAGTTGCGAGAACTAAAGCACTGAAGAACTCGTTCTCATTTGTCGAAGATCACAGTGTAAGTACGAAAAAGAGAAACTCTAGATCCGAAGTACACCGTTCGGGAATCGAACCCGAGCCGCTTGCTCACCAACAAATGGAAGGCAAGCATGATAACCACTTCACCAACGGTGTATATCTTCCAGAACTCACGTATCGGATAGTACCTCGTAAAGGGAGCACCAACCGAGACAACAAGTGCTGGGTTGTCCCCTTGACTGGAAATCAGTGAGATAGAAGACAAGTACGCTGAAGAACACTGTGACGATTGCTGCGTCGGGAACGCTAACGAAAACGTCGGAGAACTGTCACCTCCTGTCACAAAATGCCCATAAAAAGCAAAGGCTAGACTTTCCGGGGATTGCCGGACCGGTGATGGGAGCTGATGATCGCCCGGAATTTCCAAAAATCGCAGAAATTGGGCTGTCAAAAATTCCATCAGACTTTTTTCTATACTTTCCTACGATCCTTTTAGCTTGGGGGAGGGTACATAAACTAATAAGCACAAGTTTTTTTTTGAAAGGTTTACAACAAGAACAAAAGTTCCTGGGACCTTGCTCCGTTGCTCATCTCCGCCAACGTCTACAACAAACCCCAAAACGTTTTCGGAACGCCTCTAGTGCCCCCACCCATTTCCCCCTTCCCCCTTCTCGTACCTGGGTCCTGACGAACGATCTCCTTGAATGGACGCTAATCTCGCCACCGCCACCACTTACCCTGAGGACGCCAACTCTACGACGTCCTTGGAAAATGACCCTAGCGGTACATGCACTGTCCCTTCCAAGCGAGTTCGACCACCTCCTTCGAAAACATTTGAATGTCGCGGCTACGGCGACTGTCGCATGGTCTTCTCTCGCTCAGAGCATCTAGCTCGACATATCCGAAAACACACAGGAGAAAGACCTTTTCCTTGTCATTGTGGAAAGACATTCAGTCGGTGAGCTTTACTCTATTAAACATTCATCTCTTCCTTGGGTTCTTTCATTTTCATTCCTATTCAATCCTTTCATTTTCTTTTCCATAACAATCACTAATAACTCTTCTCTCCCCCCCTGATCTGCCCTTTTCCCCTCTCTTCATCATCGACGATCTCCATATATCCCCACACATCACACAGCCTCGACAATCTCCGGCAACATGCCCAGACCGTTCATACTGATGAACAGGCCATGAACGAGAAGATGATGCGTGAGCTTGGAAAGGTCCACGCAACGATGGTCGCAGCGAACAAGCAAGCTTTCCAAGCTCAAGGTAACGGTGTCCCTGCCACAGGTCGCACTTCGAGAACTGGCACTGGCACTGGCACTCGCCGGTCGTCCAAAAGGCCTGTTACGTCCACCGGATATGAAGGTGCAGGGAATCCTGATGGTCAGTTTTGATTTACCAGATGGCGTTATTCATTCATTCATTTCCCCCCTTTGCAATGCAGTGATGTATCCTGGCTTATCGCAGTCCATACATGACCGGAAAGAGTTCACCGAATCGTTCTCGTTGGCGAAGAAGGACACAGAAGATGGTGATAACTCATTCCTTCTCATCGTAACTATACCGACTGACTCCTATCCATCCAGTGGGCTTCGTACGCAATGAATCAAATGGTAAGCATCCCCCCTTTTTGACCTCTCTTCTCGAAACTATAGCAACCGAATGTTTTTTTTTCAGAGAATAACCATTTCCACGACACCAGTCGCTATCAATCTCAACCTCAATCATATCACAACTACGCACAGAATCCACAATATGGAATGTACCCTTCCGAACCACACTCCTCTGCCACACCCACACCTTCGCCTTACACCACCACCGCTTACACACACCACTATCATTCCGTCTCATCCGGCGCTCCACCACCTCCTCCTATCGTACCATCCAGCTCGCCATCATTATCCTCCTCCTCGCCTTCCCAATCCCCGATCCAAGATTTCCACGAGCCCGAACTAGATTCGTCGACTTCGTTCAGTAACAACACCGGAGGAAACTTTCCCTATCTCACCTCGCACATGTCCCTCGGATCAGCTAGCGCCAGCGCGCCTTATCTCCCCCTTTCGTCATTCACGACTCTGAGCAGTTCCACGCTTACAGGGCCTGGAGGTCCTGTGGGTTCGCAGATTGGCCGTCGGCCGACGCCGACGAGGCTTTCGTCCAGGACATCTCATCCGCATCTGAATGATCTACATTCGTATCATTCGTCCAATGGATCGGGTATGTCGGGTATCCGACACGGTGGACGCTCGCCTCATCCACGAAGTCCGTTCAGACCCTCACCGCTCTCTGGGCCTCCGGCTGGATCGAGCACAGGGAGTTATTTCCCGCTTGTGCCTAGTCATGATGGCGGTGGCGGAGGACAGGTGGATGCGATGGATTTGGATATGGATATGGATATGGATATGGATCGGCAGCAGAGACATCATCATCATCATCATCATCATCAGAACCCGCAGCAGCAGCAGCAGCAGCAACACCTCCATAACCACAATCACAATCATCAGCAGCAGCAGCAGCAGCAACGCCAGCTCCGCTCACCTTCGATACCACTGTCACAGTCGTCTTCGACGTCCTTGCCCGGGACGCCGTTTGATGACGGTGGATCGGGTGGGTATTTTATGGCGGGGAATAGTGCGCAGGATATGAACGTGAACACCAATGGGTTCTTTTCGCATCATCAGCAACGACGGAGGGTGCCTAGTGTGCCTAGTTTACCGAATGGTTCGATGCAGGGAGGATACGCAGGGTACGGTGTTGAGGTCAATACGTCCTTTTTTGGATGATGATAGTAGGAAATATACTGTCACCTGTGTACGATTTGTCTCGCTGTTCCCTTTTGGTTTGACCAGCATCTTCGGCATTCTTCTTCTTCAACCCTGTTCAAGCCGGAGGAATCAGCTTCGCCTCGCCTCGCCTCGTCGTTTCCTTCATTTTTCTATGAGTGTTTATCAACTTCGTTTTCATTTGTTCATCCACGCTGTTTATGCATTATGGTTACTTATTCCGAAATGCTCTTTTCATTTCTTCACTTTTTCTTTCGTCTTCTCGATTCTTTCAACTTCTCTTTCTTTCGAATTCCTGGTAAAGGGACGTGTGTTTTTTTCGCCCTAGGTCTGTTGTATTACTATCATCCATGTTCATTGTTTACGGTTGCTCCCAGAGTCCCATTTGATTATCTATATTAGCAATTACTTTACTTACTTTACTTGTTATTTTTGCAATTTCTGCGTAGTAGTACATATGTAGTACTTAGTCAGACTCCTTCCCATCCGCTTTAGCAGCTAAAAAAAAAATTCTGAATCTGAGGAGCATTTACTATATATGGTTTATCATAATCTTATCTTAATGACATAATACCACGTGCATTTTGAATTTTTTTTTAAGCTGCTAAAGCGACTGGCATAACTTGCATAAGCGCCTGGTGGCCTTGTTTGGTTCCGGCTTGTAGCGCCCATTAGATTTGACTCAACAAATGGTCCATTGACCGAAATCTTTTGCAAAAGGCATATGAGATGCATGATGTGTATTTGAGCATTAATTGCAGACACTTTGTGCCCCAAAAAAATGTACATTCAGGAAAGACTTTTATGGAATTGAATGGTGGAACCAAACAAGGCCACCAGGCGCTTATGCAAGTTATGCCAGTCGCTTTAGCAGCTTAAAAAAATTCAAAATGCACGTGGTATTAGGTAATTGAAGATAAGATTGATATGATATACTATATATGGTAGCTCCTCAGATTCAGAATTTTTTTAGCTGCTAAAGCGGATGGGAAGGAGTCTGGTACTTAGTACAAGGTCCTCTCTCTCTCTGACTCTCTCAAAGCCCAAGGTCTCATTAACATTTCTTGTGTATGTACTATACACGATCATCTGACATCAATACGTATTGAAATTTTAAATAAGCGCCCTCTCTTTTTTGAGTTCAACACCGTCGTCTTTGCTGGCAGGACCTGGACCTGTTTCTCAGTGTCCACTGTCGACTACTATGACCTTGAACACGTCAAGTTCAATAGGTCAATACTACCCCAGTTTCATACTCTCAGTATTAAGTAAACCATGCTGATATATATCGCTAGTAGGTTCAGCAGTTGCTTCAGTGCATCGTGACGAGGCAGCCCAAAATGCCCATGAAGTTGAAGTTGCCTCACTCGTATCTTCCAGAAACAGAGATGCCCGTCAATTGAAGCTCGACATCGAGAACCAGGTAAAGTACTGACCCAGCCTTGTTGGCGTATTCTGGTTTTATTGAAGGTCGTCAATGTCGTTCATTAGACTGACTCTACGGGCATACAACCATCCACGGCCACCGTTGAACAATCTGCTGCTATGGTCACTTTATCTTCGGCTTCACTTGCTTGCACTCATACTGTTCTCGAAACCGAAGATTCAGTCCATTCTCAAGTTACCCCTCACATAGTAGTTGACGGCACTGCAGACTGTGTTGGTGACGACTCCGCTCGTCCTCCGGTCATCACAGTTTCCGGGCCATGCGCTTCTCAGGACTATTCGACCGCAGCTGCCTCGGTGGGCCCAAACGGCGGCGAGATTACTCGAGAGATTCAAGACATTCTCTCGCTTACTGACCCCCGTGTCGTTGGGACAAGTTCGCCCGCAAGAACAGGGCCATCGGTTTCGCCTTGGCAAGCAGTCAGCGTATCGCAGACAATGTCTTCGTCCTCAAATTCTCTGCCACAGTTGCAATCCAAACGCAAGGCGGAAGCTGAAATAGAAATTGAGCAACAGAATAAGCGAGCTCGTACATTAACAGAATCGGAAACCGAAACGACTGACTCTGCTTCGACCTCCTCTGAATCTGGCTTGAGGGAATCCAACCTTCGAACCCATATCGATGAGCTTCTTGCGTCCTCTGCACCATATGATCCCAAACTTCACGACAATGTTGAAATACCCGAAGCCGTTCTCCAGGTCCGTCGCGGTGTCCTCACCACCGCTTACAAGCTCGACTACAGACAAATGCTCGTTCGTATTCCCAGAGCCCGAAACCCCCAACCTCCTGGCACGCTTGAACCCCAAGAACGACCTGTCATATTCTCAAATCTCGAGAGGAATCCGGATCTGATGCGTAAACCGGGTGATCCAGGAGTCTTGTTCACTGCAAACTCGGAGGCGGAGATGACGTTGGATAGG